CTACTTCCCAAAGGAGGAGTACAGTCCGGATCCGAACGACTCCACTATGGCCATACCGTGTAAGTGTCAAGGTCACAAACTACTTCGAAACAGCAGTAAGGTTTCTCTTTCAGGTACGTCCTGTCTGATCAAGGATCGCCAGTTTCGTCTACCTTGCGAGGGCGATCAAGTTTTTCCGTGGCATTCCTCGATCCTAGAGCAAATGCTGAGTTGGTACCCAAATACCACGTCGCACTGCCCTCCTCTTGTGCAACTGAACATCAAAATTCGACCCTAAAGTAGCTCCACCCGTGTTTAAAAATCGCCCTGAAGTTCGCTATCATCAGTCTTTGACCAGGCGAGGTATAACTGATATTAATTATAAATACACTCATTCGCAATTCGAAATGGCTGTCTTAACACCGACCAGGTAAAAAAATAAAGCGAAATATTTCAGATTTGTTAATTTGATTCTGAACTGTGGAAAAAGACGGTTGCGTATATTTTGTAAAATAACTTCCACTTTGTTGCAGTATAACTTATTCTTTCCCGATAAAAATAAAACTCGTAAGACAATTTAAGTATAAATTACATGAGTAAAGAACTTAACGTTCGATGGGTAGGCACAAATATTTTATTTTTGTATTTTTCTAATAACTAACTTTGGGAGGTCTTCAGCCGCTCAGATGATATGTAATTTCCTTCTTCCATCGGACCCAAAACACTCATTATAGTGTTCACAAGAGCCTACTTCTTGCCAGCAATTCCACACAATCATATCCTATTTTTAATGTCTGTAATTTATTGGAGCAGAGTTCTTCTTAAGAAGTTGATAGTCGCCAAACTGGGTAATATATTTCTCATTTTGTTTGCATGCCTCTTAATCTACAGTCGTATACAATTGAAAGCCAGAGAAAAGATCTTTTATTTGGATTTTCTGAAACATTTTGCATGGACTCACTCGTTAGTCTTTGTAAGCAAATTTCTGCACGAGAACAACTTCCCACTGGTTCTTCAGCCGCCTTGTTTACCGGACTTCATGTCTAGTGACGTTTTCCTTTTCAAAAACAAAGAAGTTCTGAAAAGGGGAGGTTATGTTATTTTGTACCATACATCGTACAAAGCGGGACGCGGAAATCGAACAGCATCCAAAAAAAAAAGAGATGTACAATAAGTGTTTCAGCAGATGGAAGGGCAGCTGCAGACGTTGTGTTAAGTCAGGGGGAGACTGCGTTTGAACGATATCGATTTAATTAACAGACATTTTCAATTTTTAGAACACAGTCCCAAAATGTTACTGTTCAGTCTCTTACGGGGGGGAGAATATGAAAATAAAATTCACGCGTTTTAATGGTTTGGTCAGACTGAACCTGGTCCCGATCGTATGAAACGTGCACTGTAACGCAGTTTTTGCCGCGTAAGAGAGTCCCTAGGAATGGACCTCGACAAATATGAACTTTATTTGAAATTAAATTGTAAGCTGCTCCGCTGCGTATCGCAGTTCAAATATTTACCTCATCCTGTACGTCAACAGTCCCATGACTGTCATCTTCCTCTTGCAGGAAATGGAACTAGGTTCGAAAATCGAATATCGCGAAAAGGCAAGAGACTCTATAGTCCATTGTGATTCCGCTCGGTGCACGCAGATACACCACGAACACACGAACAAACTCTATATGAAACAACTTTGAGGTTATGTGAGAAATTCGTCCTTGTAAGAACGTTTACTTAAATTAAACACATTAGTCTGAATTAATTACTGAAGTGAATAATTATTAATTTATAATTCTTTACATGTTGAGAAAATTAGGTGTCAGTGTTTGTAAATGGGGCCTGAATGTACAAAGTCATTATTTTTCTGTTCGGCATTAAGTGCAGTCCAGTTGCCGGGTCCACCCAACCTCGTATCCGATGTCTACCGTGAATAATAGAGCCTTTCCTCCGCTCCCCCATACGTCGACTTACTTAAACCCCAGGGACAGTATATCAGTACTGTTTCATGGCATTGAAATTTAAAAATCGAAATATTCTGATGTACATGTATTTGGGTGGTGCTGTTTTTTTCATTATTATTTCTATTACGATGACACGTAGACTTGGTGATCTTGCCTCCCGTACGTCAGCACTCCACTCTTCTCGGATTCCGCGGGCACCTGGCAATTAATTACTGGGACGAGTGGCTCCTTGACTGGGTTTACGGTGTGGGTAGCCGAGGCGAGCAGCGAGTGAAATGAAACGTCAAGATGTGTGCAACTTCTCTGCCTCACCTGATCTCCAAATCTCAATTCGATTTCTAGACTGACTTTCCACTTGCCTCTTATCCACCACCATCGACCAATCGAGCGACTGCAAGAAAGAACCTTCTCAACTTCATTTTCCGCTTCAGAAAAAGTAAGAAATGACTTTCCGCCACTTCGAAAAGAAGGTAGAGAAAGTAGGATCCAAGAAGTCAGGACGCGAAGTAACTTAGTGATTCGTTCGATAGATCCTTTTGACAAATTTCACCTTTTTGATGGGCATAAAATTACAGCCGAGCCGGAATAGCTTAGTCACTACAGTGTCTGACTACGGTCTTGAAGACCGGGGTTCGATCTTCGTCAGGAGTAAAGAATATCTCCTCTAGCCTCTGCGACCAGTTCGGCTCTGGGGTTCACACAGCCTCCTATCCATTAGGTACCGGGGGTCCTTTCCCCGATGGTAAAGCACGGCCAGAGCGTGATGCTGACCACAAACATTTCTCCCAATAGAGTGCAGAGGTAAAGAACAGCTGAGATACTTTAAGTTTCTGCAGCAGGACTCTGCCCCGTTTAGTTAGTTTTCTGCTCTACTCTGGACCCCCCCCCCCCCCACTAACAGGATATTGGTGGGAAATTTATTACAAATAATATTCACGAAACATTGGAGTGACTGATAAGGGTCATTATTCATTCGGAGTTTGGTTTCAAAATACAAGAAACACGAATAAATACCATGTGCATCATTTGTAGTTCTTTACATTCGTCTGCGTGACGTATAGTTATGATAAATTGCCTCTTCCTTTGCGAACAGAAGTAGAGTCTGGATGACTTATAGGGCGAATGGGTGCTGGTGGAAAAGTATATCAGATATAAACTTGTAAGGAGAAGGTGAACAAGCAGTTACATTGGTTTCTCAAAGACTGAACTTTTGTATACGGTGTTCCGTAGGTTTGATAAACATGCGAGTGGCTCACCATTATCTTTTTAATTTGCTGCTCCTTTGATTTTAACTTTTATGTTAATTATAAATCCTTTGTAAGACGGCATTGCACGTCTTCACGTCGTTAAATGAGGAGACTGCCTCCAGATACGGAGGGTAGCTGCGAGTGTACGGAATAAGAAGTCGCGGACAGCCGACATTGGGTGACACTCCGACTGGGGTTGGGCGCTGGGCTTAGCAATTCCCCGCCGTAAAAGAACAGCTTGCTACGAAATGTTACACAAGAAGATGCATGAATTTATTCTTGATTATCTAAGAAGACTGATACAGCTAACCGACGATCTGAAACAAGGAAAGAAGATGAAGTTCCAGGAATTAAAACGAGAAGCTGAGAATAGGGACAACTGGAGAGCTCTTTTTGGGCAGAGCAATGGACCTGTCGTAAGACAGAACACTGAATAATAATAATAATAAAATAATAATCTGAGCAAACTGTTAGCTTCCCAAGAAGGACTATGCCGCCATGGATTTAGTTATATAAGTTGTAACCTTCGACAGTACATTTCCAGTTTTACATTCGAGAAAGTTCCGGATTATACATTAACAGTTGAGCTGCGATTTTTAGGTGATTTTACTATTGAAGTCCTACTTTAACTGTTCAGCGCGTGTTCTCAAAATGAACGCTTATTTTTAACTCATATTTCTGGGGGGGGAATAAGTGAAACTTTGATAGATGCAGCTTAAGGCAGTGAAGGCGTAAAATATGTTTTCGTGCACAATGTGTTGTGTAGCTCCGTCTGGATTCCAATATTTTTCCTACGATCTATTTCATTCTTAGGCCCTTAATGGCTTAAAGTGGCTCTGAAGCAGTCATCTGCGTACCAGATAGGGTGAGCAGGTGTGCCAACCTTGTATAGGAAAAAGAACTGCTTTCAAGATGTCAATGCAAAGAAATATTGCCCCACGTATATTCCAGTTTCTTCGGCATTCAGAGCCCTCTGTCGGGTGACGCGGGAGGGTATTAAAACGTCATAGAATTCCGAATATAAAGATTTTATTTCCAAAAGAATAAAAGTAAATATGCTTTCAAGAGTTTTATCATCAATTTCACTCGATTTTGACAAATGTTTACGTATTTAACACATTTAAGACATACGATGAAACATTTTTCAGGCCACGTAGCGATTTTGGTCAGATCTAAAAAAGTTAGTGCTGTGGTCTTGTACAATGTGGAGAAAAATGTGTTAACTGCCATCTGTTGTCGTCCTGTAGTTCTGTTGAAATTTGTCCATTATATATCATGTTAAATAAAATTATGATGTAGCTTAATTTATACACAGCCTCACAATTTGTAGTTTTGTATTATGTGCTGTTCCACGTTTTCTATGGGTGTGCACAAGACAACACTTTTTCATTTATTAAATTTGGAGTATTGAAATCAATTCTACTAGTTTCATGGAACAGATGCCTTCTTCAGATACTAATAGTCGCCCAGCTAGTCAAGAATTTTCGTGATTTTTTTTTAAAAATCTATAAGGCTTATTTCCTTTTTCATAAGAGCACGCCACAGAATCTCATTTCTTTAAGCTGCAGCTTAATTTTATCCTTCCATCTACTACAGCGTCTCCCACGTAGCCTTCAGATTTTCGGACTAAAAGGCTGTTCGCATAAAGAATAGTTAATTTGTGCATTCCAGTGAATAATGTTTTGTTGATGAAATCAAGGAAAATGAGGTGGGAGGGGCGCGTATCATGCATTGCGTACAAAATTTTTGTCACGAACTGTGGAGGGACGAAATCACTTGGGATAAATAAAATAATATTAAAACGCATCTTTAAAAGGTATTGTTTAAGAGTGTGGATTGGATTCGTCTGGCTCAAGATAGGGAATAGTGCTGGATTTT